AGACTAATTCATTTGTATCGATTAAGTTACGATTCCACAATAAGGTTTATTTTAATTGGTTACAACTGGTTAAAACACAGTAAACCATTAAACTCTGGTATATTAAACAATGAATTCTCGAAAATAACATTTGCATTGTGGGTCTGAAAAATGTTGTTTGGGGAAATATCATCTAAAAATCCTCTTTTACAACTTTCAACTCTTACAGAATGTACAACCCAAAAACGGTATCGGTATTTTAGTAAGGTAGCAGCATTTATTAACATAAGTGGAAAAGTAATGAGTGAAGCAATGATCACCAAGCAGATATCGTTGATGTTTTGCTCTAAGGATGTAAGATTGTCTTTAATTCGTGTCCATTTGCAGTGAGCAGGTATGGCGGTATTGTCGCCTAGCCAGTGTCGAAAATTATAGTGCTCCAAGTACCTCTAAGTGCCTACCCGATTACTTGGTCAAATTTCTAAAAGGGCTTAAACTTGGATGTAAAGGTGGAAGTGCACATATAACACAGATACGCTACGTCTCATTTCTAAGTGTGAAAAACTGCGAAAAATGGATTTTGGCTCCCCATATTCAAACACCCCGGGTCCGAAGTTTGCTGTCATACACGCACAGATAAGTTGATGGGACATCCGTTCATACGACATAGTCTGCGTCCACCAAATTAGAAATACAAAGAACCCACACTTTAGTGGTTTTTTTGAGGAAGGCAATTGTGGACAGATTTTCGTCTTTTTCCTCAATTACTAGTAAATGTTTTAGTCATGATTGTGTTCATTTTTCACTTTCCGATTGTGCTTTCACAGAATCCAAAAAAATGGTTGGGGCGTAGCACTCTTATCCTCGAAAAAATTGACGATGTTGAATAACAACTAACACGGCGTAATTAACGGCGTGAATTAAAAGCGCTGACGGTTTTTTGGCCTCACCTCATTGTCAGTTGGAAAGAAAAGGAACCGAATACAGGAATCCAGACCGAGGATCAGTTGGCCACATGTTAATCTTGGTACCGGACAAAAATTACATTTGCCTTTAAATTTGGCGTTTCGTGGGTTCTTCTTCCCCTTTTTAGTGCATTAGACTTCATTCGATTCCTTTAGCCATGGGAAAATTGAACCTCCTTCGCGTGGCGAAACCTTCTCTTCTCCTGGTGGCCTTGTTTGTGTTTGGCGTGGCTCACGTTTCCAGTCGTGTTGTTTATGTCGCAAGTGAAGGTGGAGCTCTCGAGGCTTTTCGGCTAGAGCCTCTTAGTATTTATGCCAAACAATCAGGTATGCATTGGTGAACTTTAAATTGACATTAAGAGCATTTTGTACTTAACGTTAAAACCTGCCACAATGTCGACACTGTACGTGAGCCTGCAACCATGCATAAGTAATTTTTGACGCTAAGTTTCAAGCCGTCAAAAACTAGAATTTTAAAAACTGAGGCCATCAGTGACCACGTAGTGGGCAATTTTGAATGATCAATCCAATTTACAAAGTCATTTAATTTATAATTAAGCTGTGGGGTCTTAGGAGTTGTCGGGTTAGCTGATTACGTTTCAATTTTTTCACAAACTGTAAAAGGGGACAAATAGTACTTCGGATTGAATTAAAGGCTTATGTAAGTTGATATCGAACTTAAATACCAGAAAATTAATATTTGTAATACTTTGGCATACACTATCTTCGATTATGATTTGTCAATTTTATTAGTAGACTTTCATATTGAAAGTGTAAGTACCATAAGTCATGCCTTGAAGCTCCAGCTAAAACCAGCTTAACTTTTTAAATAGCCAAATTTTTTACAACCGAAGTTTCTAGATGATTGCTGGTTTTGCATCACGGGGTAAGGGAACTTCGGTAAATAATCCTCTGCCCTTGGAAAGTGCACAAGCTTAAGAGTTTGCATTCATTTGTTTTAAGTTATGGCCTCTTTAATGACCCTATTTAGGGGGCTTTATGAAAGCCCTCGCCGTTCGTCATCACTCGCTAGTTGTCAAGTGCGTAGATCCGGTAGCATAGGTATGCATCACCTGGAATATACCAAGCTTTCTTTGTCATGCAGTGTGACTTCTTTTAAAAAGATTGCTTACGTGTGAAACCCTGCCAGAATGAATATTTAAGAGACTAGCGCTGCTTTTTTTCTGCTAATTTAGAACCTCAACTGGCAAAACGTCGCTTTCGCAGAATTTACTCTACGTGGATCAAGCAGCCAAGTAGACAATCACCATCTGAAGATGACTAACGACTTCATGTTCTATAAGCACTAAAATATACAGTGTTACCGCCACAAAAAACCGACTAATCTCCGTTCAAATTAATTTTTATGTGTAAAATTACGTTGGTTTTGCAATGAACCGCTGTTGTGCACTGCCAAATTTTACATCGCAAAATCTACGCTTAATTACTTAAGGATTGTGAAAAGTTTAAAAAGTGGTCATAATATTCATTAGTTCAAAAATTCTCCCTTTTTTCCACAGTTGCCAAACAAATTACATTGACTCACGTTGGCTGAATTGTCGTGTGCGCACGGTTTTCATTGTTTAAAATATCCACTTTCAACAGTTGAACGAGCACATATACTACATGGCACTGGGGACTTAAAAAAGGCACGAAAAAAAGTCACCCATCATTCTCAAATTCCCTTTCTGGGAACATCTGGGGAAAAGTTTGCTTCTTCAAGATCTGTTACATGACTACGTGGTTGGTATGCCTGGACGGCTTTGGCAGACCAATGTAATGGTCCGCAAAATGTTTGGATTGCATACCAAGTATGTTAATTCTGAAGTGCAAATAAAAAGGAACATCTTACTAAAACTGGATAGTAGTGACATTTTTTTCAAGTTCTGATTAGTTGCAATACCGATTTTGCAATAAAAGTAGGTTACAACGGGAGGCAAAAATATGTACCCTAAACTTAAACAAAGTACTTTTTGAAGTTGCAATTTATGAGAAACTACCACTTTGCACACACATTTCTTGTTGTAAATCGGACGGGTCTCGTGTTCGACCAAAAATGTGTCCATTTGTGTCTGCAATTATCTTCCTTTAGTTGACTTAATCTGTCCAATCACAATGATACTCCTTAAAATGGGTTATCTCCCACTTTTTATTTGAATCGAGGACTGTTCCTACTGAAACATTCCCAAACATGGACACGTATTTTTTAACCCATGGCGCAAGTGAAACCCGAATACTACCAAATCCGAATGTTTCACTTTCTTCAACTTGCAGTTCCCTTAGTGACTTCAAATTTACAGGGTTGGATACATGAATGGCTTTAATGTACGTGAATTCCACGATTGAATATCTATTTTCGTTGGTAAGGTAACTCGACTTTATCGATGAGAGGTACTCTTCTACTACATTGTAAAGTTCACCCCAATACCAAACTGTTAATAACGGAATCTTAGGGTAAGGCTGCAATCATTTTCAGTAAAAACTTGTGCAGAAGCCCAGTATGGGTCTCGATCCAGGCTAGAGTTCGTGGACGTAATTCATGACAAAAGATTTGCCATCTGGAAATGGTTAGCTGTTGAACCGGTTAGGGGCCTGGAGCACAAAATAATCACGCTACCGAATTCGTACCGGAAGATCGCCAATTATCAGCTCGTAGAAGGGTGAACGTGTTCAATGTGGGGGCTTACAATTGTATTGAATTGGCTCAGTTACACTATTCCAATATGCGGAAGGATTAAGAACGGAGATAACCGGTGTGTCAGACCACCCAACCCAGTTGTGCGTGTGTCTGATGTGTGTCCAAGGTCACAGACAAGCGTGTGGTGGTCAGAGTGACGGGAGGGGCATGCGAACAGGGTTCACGCTCAGACGCGTCGCCATGACCGACAGGGGCGCTGAGAAAAGGGGAGGTGGCTATGGATGCAGCAGCAGAGCTAATGGACGTGAATCATAGCGATTCACAACATATTAACGCACCTATTTTCCGTTAGTGATTAGCCATGTAAAATAAGGTGCTGGTGGAAAACAATTAAAAATGAGCTTAATATCTTGATTGTTACTCGGTCTACTCCCACTTTCAAGACAAGAAACAAAATTGATATTTTCGAGATTGGTACTCTTCTTCTTGCCGTGCCAAATTCTTAATTCTGCAAGACCAATTTTAAATAAATAAAGATTGCTTATCGATCGATGTGCCGCTAAGTTGTTGAAAAATGCGTTTATTAATCAATTCTCTACACCATGCTTATCACGGCAATCTAGCAGCGATGCGCTTCACTCAAGTCCCATTGTCCATTGACGCCTAAGAAACCCGCGAACAAAAAATGGGTCGAGAAGGCGACACGCGGCCGCAGACACAACCACTTGCTACCCGCGTGTGTGCCAGAGCAGGTTTACAGAGGGCTTGCGAAGAGGCCTATGGGAAGTGGTCATCCTCATAATTACCAATCAACGTGCACAAAACCGATTCGACAAGTCGACTCCGATTCGAAGAAAGGACAACTCAAAAATGGAAGTAAACCACTTTGCAGGAATTTCTATTCAGCCTTTGCACTGAATGCCGTGAAAAACATCTACGTGTGTAATTTCGACCGTGATGAGAAGGAAGCGACTAAACATTGAAGACGCTAAGACTTGAGGAATTAATAGACATACAGGTTATTTACTTGGATTTCTTCATACACGTCGAGAGGGTTGATTCACCTGAATTAACACGATCTGCTACGTATTGTCAAATTATTGTTTCAGACCATTGGTTTGAGCCTGTAAACAAGCGGTAAACCGATTTGCTTCACACTTCACCGCATCACACCACTTAAACGGATGGCCCTAGGTTACACTCATTAAGTCGACTAAGCCGAATAGGCAATGAGAAGGTCACTAGTACACGCACATGTGTACCCGTACACTTGCATTTAAAATGAACAGAATACAGTGTTAAGTAGCAGTGAGTTTTGAAGATAGGATGTGCGAAGTAAATTCACAAACGGACACATGATTTGTGTGGGTGCAAATAAAGTGGTAATGTCAGCCAATCCGGAAAGTAGATTGGCAGTCTCACTTGGACTTTGTGACTTTATCCTTTTCGTTTGGAAACGTGAGTGCTGAAGACAGCTCGAACGGGGCCACTTTCCCGTAGATATCTGGCCTGTTCACAGGCATCGATGTGATACCTCGAGCCTTCGGCCCTAACTCCGGCATAAACACAAAATCCCACATTACCTGGCAAAAAAATAAGAGAACAGATGATAATATTAGTAAGTGCACACTATCAGAGCTCAGTTTTCTTCTAATAAATGTCGTCCACGAATCACCTAAGCACAGACGACACGACCGTCTGACCTAGTGGAATGAAGCAGGAGGCTAAGCACACTTTCTTGAAGATTTGCAAGTTCCTTAATTCTCGCTGCACCTAGATGATTAGACATAGAGATCAAAAGAGAAATTCTGTCCTAGATACTTTCGAATAACGACTAACTCAATGTCCAGCATTTTAAAGGAATGAGAGACGATGAATGGAGCATGTCCATACACTAACCCCTTGGACGGTGCGGTGTTGTAGTTTGATTTATTGTTGGGATATGTACAGTGTGTAAGAGGAAAGACATTTTGAATATGATCACATGCGCATCGGTTAAGTTTGGTGCCACAGTTTAGCCTAATGCATATAATCAGACATTAGTGGTGATGTGGAAAATCACCGAGACACCGCGCAAATATGGCGTGATTTTTACGTTATGCAAGGTAATGGAAGCAGTCTGTGCAATATTGGAGGCTGCTGCTACTTCATTTTTCGAACATACAAACAGTAAATTTGCCTGAATTTGTTCTCACACAGCCGTTATACCATGGTGATTTCCGAGCACGCTGCATGTACTTACTTTACAAAGAGAAGTATGGTAAGGGATGTGTTCGTAGTACTCAGGAGCTATCTTCCTCAGCTTGTTCAGCCGGGTGAACGGGATGTAGGGGAAGTCGTGGTGCTCGACGTGGTAACCCACATTAAAGAGGGGAATGTTTAGGGGACCATAGTAGGAATGCGTTGCTAGGTTATCGGAGAAAAGATAGTGCTCGCTAATCACGTGACCACACATTGGGTGGGGCCCAAAACCGAGGATGGTACCCATTAGCAGGTAGGTGAATGCATAGGTGCCAAGCAAACGCCATGCTAAATAGTCAAAGGTAATCTGCACGACCAAGTTGATAGCCTCCCAGGCAGTGACTGGGCGTGGTGACTTCAAGAAGGGTCGGACAGCGTAAAAACATGGGTTCAGGAGAATCCAAGTAAAGCGCAGGAGAGGACTCTGAAAGAGGTAGCACTCAATCTTCATGGGAATATCCACGTCTAAATCCTCATGCCCGAGCCATCTGTAAATGCAATTAGCAGACACTTAATTCTCAAAGTTAAACGCTATTTTTGTTATCGCCTGTGTCCGCAAGAACTTATCTTACCTGCTTTCATTTTTTAAAGTGCCTATTTTATAAGGTAAAAGATACAATTTTTTTATAATTAGAGGGAACTGACTATTTGCTGTTTAAAACATACAAAGTTGGTGACGATCCGAGCTGCGGACAGTAACATGACGTCGATCATTCACAGGTTACTCTGGATTAACTGACAAGAACTAATTTGTGAAAGGTCTACCAAGGGAACAAAATACGGCCGCCTGTAAGGCAGCATAAAGAGAACAGAACCGAACAAGTAAAAGGCAGATAAAGTGCCGTTGTATTAACAAATGGGTATTCTGCAGGGTCAGGGATATCATAAAATCACTTCTAACTACGAAGAAACAAAAAAAATAGAATGCTTTATAAATTGCTAGAATATCCCCTCATCAAGCACAACATTTTCTAATAGGGCAGGAGCTATTTAATAGCAATGAATCACTGCTGCAACATTATTCGATTTTTATTCTAAAATCAGCTCAAACACAAGACAAAAACCCATTCCCATGTTCTTACAGATTTTCCATATTAGGCTTCAAACAAAACACCATCATCCCATCTCCAGCTGACTAATTTAATTAGACTTCCACAATATGGAAAATCAAAGCTTTGTATTACAGCCCTTCGGGACCCTTAATTAGATCATGGAGCTGCGTGTTTCAGTGGAAGTAAACTAGTTTGATGCAACGTCAACTGAATCTCTAGGTCATAGTGTCTTAGCAGCAATAACTTGTGAGGGGCCCTGTTCACGGTGTCTTTAAGTTATATCGCCTTTGGCAAGAGGTCTGTGGTGGTGAAATGCGGAGGCGAATTGAAATAAGCAAACTTCAAGGCTGATATCACTAATGACATGGCTGACTACCAACCAGCAGACCCTACGACAAGTGCACTGTTGTAAAAGAACGATTCTGACTGCTTACCTGTGATGGTCGTGGTGGTATTTTTTGTAACTAATAGCAACGGGAAGTATCATGGGTAGGTTGCAGAAGAGCGAAAGCACACGATTGGCTGGACCGTGTTTGTGTCCAAAGGCGAGGTTGTGTCCGATTTCGTGGATAGCACTGCCCAGGGAGTGGTTGAGCGTCGCGCCCACGACGTAAACCAGCGCGCTCCAGACAATCCAGCCAGGTTGATACACAGATATCCACGAGGCGATTGCCAACTGCACGATCACCTCAACTAGCACAATCACTGCAATAAGGGGATCGGGTCCCATGAGTTTCTTGATCTCGGGGTGCTTGTTCAGAATTTCCTATTCAACACAGACATCAAGTGCCCTTAGTTGTTTTATCCGCTAAGTGTAAATGTGGTGTGTGCCCACACACCAATCCATTACTTCTTGTTTCTGTGACCAAAGTCGAATATTTATTTCAAAAACATGGGAAAAAGAGTATTTGCTTAAAGCGTGATGCACAGAATTTCAACAGAATCTAAAACACTTTTGAAGGGTGTGACTGAGTTTGGTTACTTGTAACGCTATCGGTATCACGCTGCATTTGTTTCGCGTTTGCAAATTTAAAAATTAATAGGGATTAAGGAAGGTATAGTGTGAGAAAAATGCCAAACAACAAAGCTATGAGCATATCCTATAAACGAAAGAGATAGCTGATAGAACTAACTTCGAAATAACCTTTAACATATGACTCGAGAGACAAGAAATCACTATAGGAAATTCTTGGTTGATGTTCCACTTCAGCACATCTCCGAAACTTGGATTCGATCATCGGTTATCGAATGTCTGAGATGCCAGTCACACATAAGTATTTTTAATACTATTAAAAAAAACCCAAAATGTCGATAAGTTACCGAACTCGAAAAACAAACGAACAAACTAGGTTCGAATTTCCAGTTGGTTGAATCTACACAATATGGGAGCGCTCGTGTGGTTCTTGAAGCATTGTGAGGCTGGCTCACTAATCAAGGATAACCGGGATTCCCAGCGGAAGTCAACCAATTACGCAATGCTCCTTAGTACCTTTCGACGCTCGACATGGGGCTCCTCAGTGTACTCCCACTTCTCGTCAGCGAGTTCGAAGCGCGTCTTGAGCGTCAGAGCACGGAAGAAGTTTCCGAATCGAGCCGCGGCTTGGTCCATTCTAAAAAAAATGGGGCTAAAGCAGATAGCCATTTGAATGCATGGTCCTGTAGGACCGCACACTGCCAACCCGATCATTACGAAAAGACGCAAGTCACGAGACACACATTGGTGATTTAATAACCAAATGAAAAGCCAATTTGGCTACAATTTCAGCCGGAATTTTAGGTACATCCAGTAGCTTGTATTCAGAGTTCCGATTTAATGATGAAGTGGATTTGAACTCAATTTGAATCAGCGCGCTCGTGCTAAAGGTAGATTTGGTAACTGGGCCTGAAGGTTTGCTGCAAGCACCCGAAAAAAGTGCGACCATCATGATCTGAAAATCACCTCCTAACGTGTGGTTTGACAGCTGTAAAGCTTTTGATCTACGCACTTTTAACCTCCATCCTAATAGATGGTCTTACTTCTGGTTATCATCAATCGCGCACTTCAAAATCGCAGCCTTCATTGCCCTTTTACAGTCTAATTTTGATCTGACTAGAATTTTTAAACAGGTTTTTCGAGACACTGTGACGAAAAAGTAAAACAATGGCTCAAACACAAATTTTTATTCGTACAGAGACCATAGAAGTACCTACTTGAACTTAATAGGTACAGCACTTGACGTTGACACCACTATCTGTAGCAATACCATCCACCGGAAATTCAACAACCTTTGATGCACCTTGCAAAGCCAGTCTCTGGAAGCACGTGGACAAACAATTCAAGGCAAATTCTTCCCACAAAAAGGTGGGCCATTATCTCGAACCTGGATAGTCGGATTTTGCCGTCAACCTTGGTGGCCATAATTCAAATTTATTTGTGCAGCATTATCACGACTAAGATTGTGCTATCCTAAATCGAGTGCCCATGCCTTCATGACGTCTTTAATTCGTGAGATGACGAACCATATTGAGGACTTCGGATATCATGGTGTTCCTATGTCACGTTTGCTTCAAGGTAATAAATTCGTGACGCTGTCAAACTATCACTGAGTGGAGTGTTCTGGTACTTGGCGGTAGTGGTTCGTACATACCCGTCACCAAATATCTGAACGAACCTTACACCGTACCGACACAAGTAACGGCAATGACTACTCACCATGAGACCGTTACTGCATTTCAGCAAATACACTCCTGATTTTTACGTCGACCTTCACCTTATGCTGAGGCTCAAGCCATGAGTTTTTTTCCAACGGCACTGCTGCCTTTAGACTGAGGTTGCAGACTTCGGCACTCGAAGTCTAACGTCCAACGCTTATTTATTATTTATCCCCAGTAAGACCAAATTATACTCCCTGCCTTGACAGTGACATTGTAACTGCAATATTTCTCAGCAGTAAATACCGACATGGCTGAATGTATCCTAGCAACGGGTCTATTACATATCAGCAAGCAATACCCCTCTTTAACCAAAGGGACCGTAAGTGCTACTTAGAATGCTCCGTTTAATTAACCGATTTTTGATAATTCCTGGTCACAATCGTTTAAGATACTCACCGCAAATACAAAATGAAAAGGTTGCTCTTAGCTGCAGCACTAACATTTTCTCGTCTGTCATTGAACTAGGAAATTAAGATTCTGCGTTAGGCCACAGCTCCGAGTAAATGCGGACTGGAATTATCTTCACAATTATCTCCCTAACTTTCATAAGTGTTCTAAGATTCCAATAACTGTGGGCACATCAGCTTCTACATTGTTAAAAAATTCCCAATTCACTTCATTCCTCAAAAAGTAGTTGTGGAACTACTACCTTAATTCGGTTCAATCTGTTTTATTTCCTGCACGTTCACATCCGGCCCTATGGGTTTTAGGCAACTCGGGTAAAAAGTGATTGAAAGCGCCAAAAGAATGTAGGAATTATTTAAAAGACAAGTAACTACGCATAATACACTACTACAGTATTAACCCTTACAGCGTATTGAAATTGCACTATCATAATGACAGCTTGAGTGAATTCGAAAATAGAGAACGAGGTAAACTATGCTCTTCTACCTGAAACCCACATTACTTTAAAGCCTGTTTTTGAGGGGCCCATACTACAACATTGGCATTTTTGCTTTCCAAATACAAAGCGACAATACTAGCCTAGAATATGAGAATAGAACTCATTAAAAGAAATAACTGGCTTTGTCAGGCAATATAGGATCCAAGCGGAACAATACGTGGTGCTATGTTTACATGCTCATGTTTTATAGCCTAATTCTTCCCTCAAATTCTGTAACACTGCGCTGGTCGATTCTCAATAGAGGAAAACAGAAAACCGTGGCCGTTTAGCGCGGTGTTTCGACTATACACATTGCTGAAATTCTACATTACATGAAACGTCGAAAAGCCAGGTGTTTTTGCTGGATGCAAGTTCTAAAGAACACCATTTAGTGATTACTTAGGTACGACATCGGTGTTATGCGTGGCACACTCGCAGGGAAATATAAGGCCTTATGAAAAACCTGTAGGTACAAGGTGTTGTGAGAAAAAAACGTGAAGTTACAATATTGTGATGCATTAAATTTTGACCAAACACAAATGGTGAGGATAAATATTTAGTAGTAACTTTAGGAATAAAGTGCAGCGTACCTTTAGAGCCGACAATGCGTATGTGAGACGTATATGTTCGGAACATAACTCTAATCCGCCAGGAAAATAAATTAGTACAAAGGTAATGAGCCTACCAATCCATGTGAGCTAACATTCTGACCTTCAATGAAGCAGACGATAAGCCCCAATAATAAAGCGAGTGCTCTGTTTCTATTGGGCACTAAGCCCCGATAAAATGCTCGTAATGTGATAAGAACAAAGGCTAAACCCAATCCAATGGTTACGGGAACTAGCAATGAACAAAGAACCGCACGATAACAATAGGTCTGTTTTACAAATCAGCAAATCGTTTATTTTGTTGCACAACAGAAAGTACTTATTTCGGTTAGGTAATGATCGCAGTCAAAGAATTTAACGCCAATTTAGACCTTGGAAATTTGACAAACATTTAACTAATCGAAGAACAACCAAATATTATTCACCTCGACACCTCAATTTCCTCAAAGTACATTTGCTCCATAGAATGGCAAAGTAGGCTTGTCATCCGGGTTGACCGAACTGGGGTTTCAATTTATTAGCACACCGATTCTTCTCATCGACATTTTAGGAAATACCACTATAAAAATATCGCACTTTAACCATCCGATCATTCCCAGCATTAAATATACTCAATGATTTGCTAACAACAAAAATTGGGTCAGATTAATCACCAAATAAAGGTCCAACAAATACGTCAAATGAAGGTTTCGGAGCATTTCCTTCTAACATCTAATTTTATGACCCGCAGACTCAAAGACAACAGCTACAGCAAGTAAACAGTGCCCAATCTCGAAAGTAACAATTTAATATACTAAGACTTGGAATAGGATTTAAGGAAATACAAAAAGGAATTGAGCCAATTCGACAAGATGCATATATTTCAAAACAGTGTGACTTCAAAAACACATTCTGCCATCCATAATCCAAAAAAGTAGCTAAGTCACGAGGTGCATTCCTTCAATAAACCTTACCCAATTAAGCACGACATGCGGAACATATTTTTTGATAAGTCCACCATAAGCGATAATTTAGAATAGACAATGATCTAGTAAGATTAAGTTTCAAAAAAAGAACTCAAGGGAGAAGTTCTACTCCTGCTACTAATTGCATAACTAAGCCATATGTTGGCGATCTGAGGACTCATTTTCAGGGGGGGCCGAAGCACAAGAACACCTACTCACGCAGCCTAAGGAGAGGTATATATTCAACTCAGCATTCCGGAATTTAATTATGAATGACATTAGAAAATCATCGTTTGACTAATTTTCCAACTCAATTAGACACTGTCGTGAAGAGTTCAATGCCATGTTCCATGTCGGAAATGCACGTCAGTCAAAATAACTAGCAACATTTCGGAAATACGAGACAAAGCAGCACACAACATATTTCATAAACTAGTAAAGTCGGTAAAATCAAGTACAACAATTGCCAGGTTAGCTGCCATGAACATGACGTTTAAGAGGATAGTTGTGTAAAATAAAAGGATGCCGCAAAAAAAAAACAAAATACACAATTACATTGAGATACGCTTCAATCCCAGAAATGCAGTTAGAGTTAACAACTACGGGTGTTCAACTTTGGATTCCAGTGTGGTGTGGTGTGTGGTGTTGCGGTGTTTTGTTGTGCGATGTGGTGTGGTGTGGCGTCGGATTAGGGCGCAGACATATTGGACCACCTGGCCTCAGCCAATCCTGTGTCTCTCTGCAAT